CCTTATAAACCCTAAACTCCAAACCCTAAACCCCAAACCCCAAACCCTAAACCCTAAACCCTATGTTCCATGGGCTGTCCAGCATGTTGAAGGTCTGCACGGAGTTCAACTCCAGGCAGTAGGTCGTCCTCGAGGGTCCGGTTGGCCTCAGGTCCGACTTTTGCAGCCAGCGCTGTGCAAAACGGTATGTGTATACATATATACGTTTACACAAACAAACATACATACAGAAATACATGTACATACAATGAGTACATACATAAACCCATGCTCATACGTGTGTATATATGTGTAAATAATGATATAAACATACCTAAATAAATAAATAAACAAATAAATAAATAAATGTATATATATATATATATTATACATATACATATTTATAGATATAAATAGATGTGTGTCTACGTATAAGGCCCTGATGAACCCCTACGCAACCCTGACAACCATTAGATGAAGGAGTTTTGACCGAGCGTCACTAGCTCGTGAGCATTGTAGAGCTGCGTGGTTTAAGGCCTTCGGGTTGACACGTACCCTGAACACCAAAACCCGAAGCCTCTGAAACCAAACACCCCAAACTCAAAGCCCTGAAGCCTAAACCCTGAACCCCATGACAGAGGAGGCCGTACCTGCTTCTTGAAAACACCGAAACTCCAAGCCCTCAGCCCCAGACCCCAAACCCCAAACTGCGGCCTTTGGCCTGCCCAAATCTGAGAAGCAGGCCTGGCAGCTGGACCACGCCTTTGCAAAGAGACACACCCAATATGGGGTGCCTGAGAATTTAGAATACTTGTAGGATAGGGCTTTACAGGGCGGGGTTACAGGTTCGGGCTTGTAACGGGGCCATACTCAGAATTGTAACGGGGCCTTAATCCGAATAGGATTTCTTTGGGGCTGTTTTGTAAACTAGTTACGTATATCGGTGGAACCATAGTTTTTTAATGATTCAGACGCCCAAATTACCCTAAACCCTAAACCCTATACCCCCCCCCTCCCCCCCAAGCTGTGGAAGACTCCGGGTCCCTTCTCCCATGTGGGGAGCCGGCAGGATAGCGACGATGGAAACGGCTGAACCTCTTCCTAGCAGTTCCGGCCTCAATGCTTGGCCCCCCTGAAACCCCCGTTGGCGTAGGGTTGAGTGGGGTTTCGGGTTTAGGAGGTTTTGGGTAGGTATAGGCTTTGGCCTTCAGTTTCTTGAGAGGTGTGGTTGAAACGGCTGAACGCATGGCCCCGATCACGTGCTGTCTCGAAGGCTTTACCTTTTGAATCCTTTTGACTAAAGTCGTGCATCGCCTGTCATGTTTTCAGACTTTCTAGCAAGGGCTGTGACACGAGGAGTGCTGTGAGCTGGGGCTGAGGAAGCCTCGCGATTTCACATATTCTACCAAAACAAACATCAATGCACGACCCTCAACCCCATCCATGTATGGAAGACATGTGCTACCCTCAACCCTCAACAACTCGAGGCCCTGCCACCCAAACCCTACACCCCAAAATCCCAAAACTCCAACCCCAAGCCCCATGCTTCAGGGTCCGGCAGGAACCTCTTTGGCAGACTAGGCAAAGGGCTGACGTCTGAGTCACACGGCTTAGGGGTTTCTGATGCTCTGTCCGCCAGTGTTTCCAGGGACTTTTCTTTCTTACTGCACGTACTCTATAGGGGTCGGAATAATACAAAAAATAGTTATTAGAGTAGCTCAATGATACCTATGCTAGAATATACCCACAAACCGAAACCTGCTGTTCCAATCATTAAATTAAGGCTCCGATAATATAGAGGCCTTAACAATTAGAATAGGGCGTAGGGATATCTTAAACTATAGTCATGATAAGGAACCCACCAAAAAACAAGTATATATATATATATACATACATACATACATACATACATACATACATACATACATATATATATATATATATGTATGTGATTATTTAGGCCCCTATATTATGAAACCCGAACCTTTGGGCCAGAAACCAGGTGAACTGAGGGTCGCACGCAGCGGCCACACGAGCAGCCGTCTCCTAAACTTGCAGGGTCCGAGCTCTAAGGCTGGGGACTATTGGGGTCTAGGAGTTTCTTTGGGATTTGGGGCTGGGGGTTATTGGGGTCTGGGACTTATGGGGCTCCTTGGGATTTTTTTTGGAGTATTTCAGAGCTTGGAGGTTTTAGGTCTAGGGGTTTAGGACACTAGCGTTTTGGGCAAGCCAAGGGGTTCGAATGCCCTTGGTGAGTATTTGTTGGTATTGCTGCAAGACTACAGCGACACTGCCAGGATTGCTAGCGACATGGTCTGCACCCACAACCGGTAAGTACCCCACAACCCTCAACTGAGAGAAAATCCCTACACCCCTATTCCCCAGACCCCAAGAAACCTACATGCTTAGGGCTCCTTATGATGATTCCCTTTCACAACGTATGGTTTCGTAAGCCCCGAAACCCTCGACAAAAGACTTGAAGGTTCCCGTATATTTATATGTATGTATGTATATATATATATACATGCATACAGATAGAAAGAAAGATAGATGTAGATATAGGGTATAAGTACAGATATAGACAGAACTAGACAAAGAGATAAAGAGAGAGAGAGAGATATATATATATATATATATATATACATATATATATATATATCTACCTACCCATCCATCCATCTATCCATCTATCTATCTGTCGATCTATCTATCTATCCATCTATCTGTCTATCTATCTGTGCATCTATGTATCTTGTATAGTATCTTTCTGTCCATCTATCTGTCTATCCATCTATCTATCTAGCTATCTATCTATCTATCTATCTCTCTATCTATCTAATCTAGTCCAATCTAATCTAATCACACGCACCTATGATCAGAAAAGGAAATCGGACTGGTTGCCGGGCAAGGTGGTGCACATTACGGTATATTCCTCAGGGGACTATACGGGGATCGTAGTAGTATCTATTCCGACCCCTTTGTCAAAACTGTCTTCCCATGATTTTAAAGACTTGTCCGTCACAGCTGGATACCGCAATCGATGGGAACCCTGAACCCGAACCTCCAACTGTCTTCTAAACTCTAAGCCCCACTTTAACACCCTTCCGATTTGACCCGACCCTTCCTGACATCGGAGAACAGCCACGAAAAATGGACAGCACAGGCCTCAACACCTATATCCGATTGCATGGAAAAAGGATTGCTGTCAACCACAAGATCCTATGCCCGAAGTCATGAGGACCTGACGTGACCTGATGGATGCAGGACATTTGGCAGATAGATTTCGGGTTTCGCGCCTGTCGCTTGCTCCCGTCAACTTTGGCTGCTCCTGCCAGCACAGACCCAGACACCAACAATTCAAATGAAGATTGTCCAAAAAGCTTGTGCAGAGCTAGCTTCTTCAAACAAAACCTAAATAAAGCCCTACACGTAACACCCCAAAGCATGAAACCCTGGAATCCTAAAGCATCACGCCTAGCTCTAAACCCAGAGTTCAGGCTTTCTTTGTTTTTTAATGCTCGAGCCATGAGGTTAACTGGCTGAAGCGTCTAAGGCTGAGGGTTTAAGGCTTCGGATTTAGCGGTGTCGCTGTAGGTAAACGAAGTTCTTCCCGGAGCCTCACAATACCATACAACCATATGGGACGGGAAAACCGAACATGGTTTGGTAGGATATTCACCATAAAAAGCCACAATGTGGCTGTTAGCGGATACGATGAGCAATTATATGCAGACATCTACACTCAAGCCCTAGCCCTAGACCCCTGCATAGCAAGTGTCCAGAGGTCCTTGTGCCGACGGCTGCCCACCCAAAGCCTCTTCGTTGATGCATTGGCTGGTGCTAGCGGCCTTAAGTCTAAAGCTTATAGGCTTCCCTACCAGCCGCAGTCCACATATGGGGGGTTTCCGAAAATAGGGGACCCTAATAGTACCCTGAATAATAGGATCCCTATTATAAGGAGCCCAAAATAAGGTACCCCTAATTTTCTGAAACTCCCATATAACCCCAGCCAGATTATACTTGCTGCTAATAGGCCAGGCAGAGAGTGAAGAAAGGAGCTACCCCAGCTGTCACTCTCGTGCTGACAAGGAGAAGCAAAGGCCGACGCCCCGAACTCTCATGCTCACAACGTCAAGCTACTAGGCGTTCAGGGCTCTGGTGGTCATGAAGCGTAGCAGGATGAATCGACCATGTGATCCACTTTGAAACGGTTCGCATACATGTTAACCTAAGCCCGCTCTGTTCCATCCGGGCTCGCACACTCGCTGCCTAAACCCCCAAAGCCCCACACCCCGAAATATCTTTACACCTGGACTTTTTTCTGAGACAACTAATTAATTCGCCCACACCCCCTAAAGCAGTTAGACCTGTTAAGCCGTAGAGTCCTGAACTCGCTGATGAACCCCCGAGACAGAAACTCTGGGTTAAAAGACCTTAGAGCAAAGGCAGAAGCTTTCGAACATTATCTGTGCAGAAGTTATGGAGGGCTTAGGGCTCAGGGTCGGTGGGCTGAAGTCGTGCCTGCGTTCCCATGTTTTTGGTTCTCTTTTCAGTGGGGGGTTGGGGAGGGTGATGTTCCAACTTGCTTCTGTCGCAGGGTGCTCAGTGTAGGATCCCCTAAGCCCTAAACCCAAAGGCTTCAACTGATACATCTTCACTGAGGTTGCGACCAAGGCCTCTTCACGAAGTTTCTTTGACTCCGCCTGCGACAGGAACTCACATCGCTGCAGCCTCTAGAAGCCCAAGGAGCGACGCCAGACATTACGGGCCACTCAGGCTCCTACATGACCTGCGGCCTATCTTTGTAATACGACCCAAGAGGGTTTGTGCGGGCCACTTTCGGTGAAACCAAAGTCCCTCCCCAGGCCCCAAGCAGGCTCGAGCAGCTTTAGCACCTCGACTGGGCTTCTTACGTCAGTACGGTAGCACGCCGCCCAACCTTTCAACCTCGTTTGGGTGGGTGTGACATGGGACTGCGCACCGTTGTAGTTCGACCCTGACTCAGAAATAGTTTTCGGGCACACACAGAGGAGCGCCGGACAACAGCAAGTCGGATCGTTTGTGTCTATTAGTCTACTACAGTTTTGCGGTTGCGTTGCTAAAAATCTACGGGTCTACAGGGTGTTTACTCAGTCACGCGTTTCTGTCAGCAGCGGCTGCTTGTGCTGCGGCTACTTTCACGTCTGCAATACTACGACACCCCAAGGAAGAACACACTCCAACCACGCAGCCAAGAGCTTGGTGCCAACGGTGCCTGCCAGCTGCAGTTCACGTCGTTCTCCTGCGTACAGCTCGTTGCGCCGACAGCAGAATGAAAGAGGTAGACATGGCCAACATACAGATCATGCCCGCTCGCTGCCGAAAGCACAGCCAAGATATCCGTCACCACTCCCCCCCGGTTTAGCTGTCCTTGACCTGCTCCAAGTACTGCCTCGGTCGCAGAAAAGCTCAGAGGCTGAAATTCTTGACGTGAGAAGCGGAGACTGACATAGGGGTCGGAAGAGTAGGTAGTAGTATCCCGTTATGTTCCCTTTATATGTAAACCAAAATGTGCCCCCCCAAGATTAATGCTATTTAAGAAGGCCCCTGCTGTTGCTGGCTTTCCGGAGATTTTAGCCCATGGCAGATTCAAGGAGTAGGCTTCAAAAGAATGAAGCCGTTATTACAAAAAACTCGCTTGCAAGGTCTAAAGCTGATGCCGACATCCGGAGATCTTCGAAGCGGAACAAGACAAAGCTAACGATGACGATTCGGAGCTCTTCCGGATCCCAGGTTGGCACGGGAACTCGCTTAAGCGGTTTATCTTGGCAGTGCAAGGTATATCTTGTAACTTGGCCCTGCACCATGAACCACGAGCCCATGGGATTTCCCCGAAGGAGCTGAGCAAGAAACACTATTATAAGACTCCACCCTGAACCATTTGTACAACCTCCAAGCCTACTTCCTCCAGTCTTAAACTTTGGGGACCTTGCGAGGGGTGCCTATTGTAGCAATGACTACAAGGAAATAATACTCCAAATTATTCGACCCACTCGAAAAGCTCTCCAAACCGGTCCGTCCCAGTTGATGAGTGGATGCGGTAAGACCTCCAAGCGCATGCTCGGTTTCCGGCTTGGGGTTGCCAAGGGTTTAGGGTTTGGGATCTCTTTAGGGCCGGGGAACTTTAGACATAGCTAGGACGAGCCGGCATTGTAGGGTGGGTTTAAGGATTTTGGGCTTAGGGCGGTTTGGGTCTGCAGGTCGAAATTCAATGAGATCGCGGACCTGATTGCGAAGGGCCAAAGACACCCGACGAAACAGAGGGATCTACTGCCTGAACGCTCTATGCCCTTCATACCACTGCCCACTGAGTATGAAACCAGGCTATCGTAGGCACCGCGCAGGCACCGAGCGGGATCGGCTGGAAATCTGCGGTCATTCTGCAGCAGGTGGCAGCCTCTTAATCAATAAGGATATCCACCATCAGCCAAAATCATCTCTTAAAGACCACCAGAATCAACAAGACTACCCATAATTCGATCATTAGACGGAATCATCCCTATAAGCCCTGTATGCATGCATGCATATACGTACCTACACATACACATACATACATACATACATACATACATACATACATACATGCATACATACCTACGTACGTACGTACGTACATACATACTTACATACATATATATATATATACATATTATATACACACATATATATATATATATATGTATGTTTTAAATGATTGTTCGATTTGTCGGTAGGAAGATGTTATGCGGCTTGACAGCTGGGATCTCGGTCAAACTCTCGGCCTAGCCTATCACACCTTGGCTGTGTTCATCGCCAGAATAGAGTTTAGGGTTTCTGGGGTATAATATACAACAATCAAAGTATGGAAACCTAAGGGATAGTATTTCTGGTTATACCGGCCACTCTATTAGCCCCTTCTGTCACGTTACCCTATCGGTCCAGGTAGACAAGACACAGTACGCGTTATTCTCTGAGGCTTCTAAGGTTTTTTAATGAAGGCTCTATCCAGGTTTGCAGGGACTCCAATCCATGTGCCCTTCATCCTGAAGGTTTGTGGTTCGGGGATTAGGGGTATACCAAGGCACTAAACTCCAAACCATCCACCCCAAATCCACCTAATTGGCCAAATGTTGGCACTGTGGACTCACCTCAAAGTAAGATGTCGGCACAGACCAATGGGCTCGTCGGGTGTAAATGATAGCATCGACTAAGTCGCCCACGGAAAACAATTGACAAAACAACAGTCGGCTAATAATTCGGTGTATGTGCAAATATTCGGATCCATGAGGTTTTCCGTTCAAAACAACAAGGAGCATGCATATTGGCATATAGCACATATATTTACTATGCACATTAGGAAGGATCTTAGGACTTACGATAGTCACGTGGATCTGACCGACATACCAGGACCTACTCCAAATGGACCAAGGCCATCGCCTGCGAGCTTCATCAACAGTGCACACCTGAAGGCAAGTGGGCACTCGACTGGAACGTAAACCCTCGTTGAATCCCCGACCCATCATCCAGAGAGTCGGAGCCCTAAACCCCAAAACCAAGCCATTTTGCAACAGGCTCGGGAGATGTAGACCTTGCTTCCAGATTTCTTGCAGCTACATTCCGGAAATCTTGCCTGAAGTCTTTCGGTGTGTGATCGTGTTGTGTATATGCACAGCACCACACAGCTAGCAGGTATGTGCGAATAACTGAAAGACTTGAGGCTCTTGTCTTACGTGCTGTAACATATCATCAGCGTCCCATGAGTATAAGCGTGATATACTCCAAGAAATGCGAACCCTAAGTACCTAGTTATTGGACAGATGGACCTTCAACCGTGTGCTCTCTCTTTGCCGAATAGCCAAATAGATATGGGTAGTTGTCAAAATGATGATCCCTTTGGGGTACCCTAAATTATAGGTGCCGTATTATAATAAGGACCCAAAAAGGGACCATAATTTTGACAACCACCCAGATATGTACGCGGACGTCGGCCCGTTGTGCCTGCTGGGGCCAGCGTGCTCCATAGGCACTGGCCGCAGGACATCCATCCTCAGTCAGGCTTAACGGTTTAAGGGTCCATGTACTCATATAGAAGATACATTGGCCTTAATGTAGTTCCTATTTAAGTACTTTAGGGTCTCAGTATCTACTATATGGGTACATGGACCCTTTGGGACGGTTTAAGGGCAGCTCTAGACAAGTGTGCAAGGGTTAAGGAGGTTCGAGGGTTCCAGGCTTGAGGGCAGCTTCAGAACCGTTTAGCGTGCTTCACCGTTTGAGGCTTGATGCGTCCCGCTGCACGAACGACATGCAGCGACCCTAAACTGCTCAGCGGACCTGGTCGTGTCGGGCACGTTGCAATCAGAACTTCCCGCAAGGCACGGCTTGGAGCTACACACAAGTTACTCGAATGCAGGCGGAGATTAAGATAGAGGTACACACCAAAAGTGGACACTCCCGCAAATGTACGGCCCATAGGAGGTCTGACCGCTGAACTGGACGAGGGTGCATCAAGCCCCTGGCGCCCACTCGTAGTATCGCACGGCCTCGAGGGTTTGGTGCTTCAGGGTTTCTGTGGACGCAGCTGTCCTCCATTTTCACCCTCTTCCAGGAATGATGACACTGGCCGATGTTAGCATACACTATGGGGGGCAGAACAGTTAAAGTAACCCCCATTTCCGTTCGGTTATTTGGAACCCCCTAACAGCCCTAACATGACGCAGCCCAGCTCTAGACCGATTCTATACCATCCACACAATATATCCCTGTAACCCCAAACCCTACCCTCTATACCCCTAAAACAGAAATAACAAATCTACACTAACAAATCCATAAAGTCCGTGGCACCTGCGCTGCATCCTTCGCGACACAGCGGTCGCCGTGCCCACGAAGTTCCCAGGCCTCAGTGATTAGAGGGTGCACTGTTTTTGCATAGCGCTTACGGCTTAGGGTTTGCATAGGGCTTAGGGCTTAGAGGGGGTCCATCGTTTTTAACAGGGGTTCGGCGATTTGATGCTGGGTTCAGACAGGCTTAGTTTTCGTTTCCAAGTACAGACTTTCGAACAAGTATGCATGCGTGTATTACAAATCTCTATATGTTGATACAGATAGACTTATATAAACAAACAGTTATATGATATGTCTATCTATATATATATATATGTGGTACATGCATGAATACATGAACACATACATGCATGCATACATACATACATACATACATACATACATACATACATACAGCATGCAGCCAGCCAGCCGGCCAGCCAGGCAGGCAGGCACACAGATAAGCATGTATGTGTATGTATTTATCTATGTATGTATATGTTTTTAGATAACGCAGCGGATGCACAGTGTGTGTGTGTGTGTGTGTGTTGATTCTCGCTTGAAGGGTGTGCAGGCCTGGGGTTTAGCAGCGTTTTAGCCAAGGTTCAGGGCATACAACGTTTGTCGGGTTTGGGGCTACGCACTAAGGAGCTTTGGGCTTACAGGGTGTAGTTGTAGCAGTTAGATGCAGTTGGGTCGGCGAAGACTTGTCCTACAGGGATTCCGTCGGTATCTTATCCCGAACTATCCAATGTTCATTGACGCTCAGAAACTTTTATGGGTCATGGTTGTAAAGGTTGCTAGGCTTGGCAGTCTTCCATGGACTTTCGGAAGGTCGCAAAGGGGTGTGCGCTCTGGCAAGGCGTACTACATGCGGAACTTGAGCAGCGCCGCGTGCAGGAGGTATATAAGACTTGGCATTGAGCATCAAAACCCTGTTTCAGCACGGAAACCCTAAACCCTAAACTCGATAAACCCTATCACCCTAAATAGGCGTGGGGACAATGCAGGAGCCTCATAAGTTAAAAACACAAATGCATGTTCGTTGTCCAGCGAAGCATCGCTTTTCCTAGGCACCTCGGCCCTCCCATCCGAAGTTCCTTGACGGTTTCGGGCTCAGGGTTTGAGTGGCTATAAAGTTCAGGTTAAAGGGGTTTAGGGTTTAGGGTTTCGACTCACACACTCGCAAAGCTGGGCTTGCTACGTTTAGGGTTTGCAGCCATTCATGAAAAGAAGCCAACCCGAAGCCACCTCAAGCCCTTCTACTCCGAAGCCGCTAAAACCCAGAGCTGTGAATTCCGATATCCCTGGAAGCGGTGAGCAAGCAATTAGCTGCAACAGCTACCCGGGCAGGCTAGGATGTCGAAATTTCAAGACGCAGCGTCTCTCATTAAGATGTATATATGAGGACGTGGTCGATCTTCCCCAAAGCAGCTCTCAGGACGTATCTGCACATGTCTTCGGCAAGCTTGCCTGTGTCGCTTCGAGAGCCCTGTCGGGTAATTTTGGGTAAACATGATCGGCAAAGTACTGACTCCATGTTTACCACGTGGACCCAGATCAAAAGCAAGAACACCGAAGACCCTCCAACCATACCTAAATCCAAAACCCTTAGATGCGCGCCTGCTCTGTGAGTCTTTGTATATCGACGTCCATGGGCTTCGCTTCCGTGATCATTGGCGCCTTGTCCAGTGGCGAGGTCCATTGGTTGCAGATCTCCCAGTCGAGATTTGAGAAAATTGAAAATCGTGTCTTCGTGGTGGGCGACATGAGGCTTAAACGCTGAGGGCACATGGAATAGACTGACTTCAGTCCTAAACCAACACGGCAAAGCCTGAACCCATATCCGGTCTCGGGTGAACCCTCAGCAACCAACACCCGTCCGAAAAACCGTGGGGCTAGTTATCTAAATCAGGGTACCGCTTGGGATCCCCTAAAGAGTACTACATTACCCTGCAAGACAGAGGCCTGTAACCCCGAGACACCAGTATACTCATACTTTATATCCACGTCAGTTTCAAACAGTGCGAACAGCTTATAGCGACACGCTGCCCATAGGCCATAGGCCCCCTAGTAGTTCCTTTTTGGGGTTCATATTTGGAATCCTATAAGGTAATCCCAACAAGGAACTACTATGGGTGGGGCCTATGGGTTGAAGCCTTACTCCCTGAACCCCGAACTCCCGTCCCCACCCTGTACGCCTGTCCAGCGCGCAACCGGCGGTCCCGGATCCTCTCGCGCCAGTCCTTGGCAGGTTTGCGTGATACTTCGGGGTTCTAAGTTTCCGTTACGCTTTACGGGTTCCTTGAGTATGCGAGGGTTCTAAACAAGAAGAGATTCACAGGATTCTAAAGGGGTTCTATGAGGGTTTAGGGCTTGGGTTTCGGAGTTGCTTGGTTCAGGTTCAGGGCTTGCGTGCTTAAACCCGTATGCAGGACAGGTTGTATCAGTTGCGGCTCATACTGTAACCCCCAACCCTTAGAAGATTTACTAGTCCAGGCAAGGTTGAAGGTTTAGGGTTTAGGCATGTAGGAAGTTGGGATGTTAGAACTATTTTTTGTCTAAAGCCGAAACATCGAATCCTGAGCTGCCCCTTTACCGTCAAACCCAAAGCCCGAAACTTCAAACCTGAAGCCCTGCAAGCCCTACGGTAAAAGATAACGAACGAAACACCATCTGCCGGGGCTAAGATACGATTGACATATTAGCAGGGGGTTTGTGGACAAGAGACACTGGGTTGTGAAAAAACCTGAGCTCCACTGCTTCGGTACCCAAAAGGTCCAGGAAGACACGACCCTAAACCCTTGGCCCCATCCTCTCGACACCCTAAACCCTTGGCCCCATCCTCTCGACGCCCATGTGACCCACATTCATGCGCGGAGCCTGCAGTGTGCTAGAACCCTATACAGTCCACATTTCCGAACACTTCCACGAACGATTTCAACCCTTCGGCGGTCTTTCGCGAACGCAAGCACATGAAAGCTCAAACTCTGCTAAGCCGCGCGCCCTGGCAAAGTCGGCAATAGAGGCTGGGGCTCACGGTGCAGAGGCAGGCAGCATGCTCTTCTAATTCTAGGGTTCCCCTACATCAGTAACACCAAAGCGAAGGAAGTGCAACAAAAATGCTAAGCCCTCATAGTAGCAACGTTACATGACAGGCACTTCTGCTATCTTGCCCCACTTGCCCCTGGAAAGCAGGGGGGGTGGGGGGGGTGGGGGGGGTGGGGGGGGGTGGGGTGCAAGATGACCAGTCATCTTGCCCCTCCAGTGGGGCAAGATGACCAAGCTGACCGTATCCTAAATTAGACGGGTTTCCTTGTCCCCGTGCTCCTGGACCTTGTAACTGACGTCTGGTCCACATGACAGTATCCGATCTTGGATAATGACAACATGAAAGTTCTTCGTTTTCTCTTGCCTGAGTGATGCCGCTATAGCCGCTGTTACGACTACCCGTAGCATACTAGTCGAAGAGGAGGGGATCGTAGTTCGGAGTGGGATCCTTCACGACACTTTGAGACGCTTCCGGCCAGAGTGTGGGGTTTGGGCTCGAGTATTAGCTGCAGTCCACGGTTTTTTTTTAATGGTTCTGGTGTCTTACACAGTCGGTGCAGTCCAGATGCTGCAATGTTACGGCTCATCGGTTTCCGGGTTTGTAGTATACCTAGCATAGTCATCCGATGTCAGGAGCTGGAGATATCACGTATCGCCTTCATTGTGTAGGGCTTCGGGCTTAGGGCAAGGAAGGCGCCATAGACGAGTCATTGGAAATCTGTTCGCCAGGGCGCTGCTGAGCATCTCAGCAGTGAGACTTTACCCGCATGGGTCTTCAAACCATCTTTTCGATTCATTGCAGTACCCAGAACCCTGAACCCTAAGAGCATTCGGGTCTTAGGGCTTTGGTTCAGCTTTACTTCTTAATCCGGATTTAGCACTTAGTGCTTTCGATGGGGATGGTTGCTGGTCGACCTGGTGTGTGTACAGGGCTGTTGGACATTTCTGCTCGAAACATCTGGTCTACGACAGTCAAGCTAATCTTCATCTTCGAAGTGGACACTCTAAAGACAAATCGAACCTCCAAAATTCGTAAGCATTGAGCGCTACATCCAACAACATGTGCACCCACTGAAGTTCTCCTTTTCTGAGTGTATACACTACGGTGTAGGATTTGGGCGCTCAGAATGCGGAACTCTGGACGAGGCGCGTGACCGAAGTGTCTGTGGTTGCAGAACGTGAAGTAGCCGGACTCGCAATACATTCTCCGGGCATCAAGTGGTCTAGGACGCGCAATACATTCTCCGGGCATCAAGTGGTCTAGGACGCAGACCATGCATCGCAGCTGCGCCTAGAGCAAACCCGGTAAACAGGCGAACGCGGCCGAGCATGTCATATAAGGGCCTTACTTTGAACAGGGTAATACAATTACTAAAAAGAACCTCAAGGAACAACATAGGTAATCTTTTGAGGCCTTGTAGAGTATGGCAACTTTCGCCCGAGCCTGGTGCTGCTTGTGAAGCCCCGGCATGAGAGCAAGTTTTCGGGTGGTTCTGTCGAGCTTAATCCTCTTCCAAAGCCCAATTCCCAACATTGTCAGACCCATTGAACCTTAGAAGAGCAACGGCGTTTAGGGTTCATGGTGCAGGGTTACCGATGATGAGCACATGAAAGCTGGCACAACCTGCTGCGCATTTAAGCTAATGCACACAAAAGATGCTCACCAAAGCTAAGCCCCCAACCCACAACTCTAAATCCAATAGATACCTTAGTCGCAGACCTGACTGATTCCCCATGTTGATGCCGTCTACGACTCGAAAATCGTTGGGTTCGGGTTGAAACAGTTTTAGCTAAATGTTGCGGCTTAGGGTTCGGGATTAAAGAACACTTTAAAGGGAAATGCTGTCAAGGATTGTCGCTATGCAGGGTTTGGGGCAGGATTCGCAATCGCAAAACTGGTACGGCTTAGAGCTGATTGAGCTAACGCATTTTGATGCACGCGCTGACCGGCATCGACGGGCTACCTTCAACCACCATGGCAGCACCTGCTCGTACGACCTTATATTGACCCCCGAAACCCCAATTAGCCCCGTTTAGACCCCCCTGAGCATTGAACCTACTTAAGCCCTGAACCCCAGTTAACCAGCTTTAGAGCTCAGATGCCGGTTTCTTCTCTACTCCAGGCTTGAACTTTCCGCCCGGAAAGCGCGCTTGGAGCGCTTTCTCACCACCGTACTGGTCGATGTACCTGGCCGGCCAGGTCTCCGCACAGGCCATGAGGCTGATAGTGCTTACCTTAAGAACCCAAAAC